ACTGGGAGAAGATATTTGCAAACTATATGTCAGATAAGGAGTTAATATCCAAAATATATAAAGAACGCATGCGTCTCAACAACAAAAAAACTGGCAACTCATTTAAAATATGAACAGACAATTCTCCAAAGAAGATATACAGATGGCCAACAGGCACATGAAGAGATGTTCAACATCACTAATTATTAGGGAAACGCAAATCAAAACTATAATGAGCTACCACTTCACACCCATCAGAATGGCTATAATTAAGAAGAAAAGAAATAACAAGTGTTGGAGAGGATGGAGAGAAAAGGGAACTCTCATACACTGCTGGTGGGAGTGCAAACTGGTGCAGCCACTATGGAAAATAATATGGAGATTCCTTTAAAATATTAAGAATAGAATCATCATACGATCCAGTTATTCCACTGCTAGGTATATTTATCCAAAGATCATGAAAACAAGAATACGTAAAGATATATGAACCCCTATGTTCATTGCAGCATTGTGCACAATAGCCAAGACTTGGAAACAACCTACATGCCCATCAAGGGACGAATGGATAAAGCAGATGTGGTATATATACACAGAGTGGAATACTACTCAGCCACAAAAAAGATGAAATCTTACCATTTGTGACAATATGGATGGACCTTGAGGGTATTATGCTAAGCAGAATAAGTCAGAGGAAGAAAGTCAAATACCATGTGAGTTCACTCAAATAGAAGATAAGACAACAACCACCACCAACAAATACATGGATACAGAGATTAGATTGGTGGTTACCAAGGGGGAATGGGGAGGGAAGAGGGTGAAAGGGGTGACTGGGCACATGTGTGTGGTGATGGATGGTAATTAGTCTTTGGGTGGTGAACATGATGCAATCTAACAGAAACTGAAATATAATGACATACACCTGAAGTTTCGTAATGTTATAAACCAATGTTATCTCAATAAAAAATATACGTAAAAGTAAAAAATTTAAAAAGTAGCATAAAATTTTGATTTTTTTTTGCTGAGGAAGCTAACATCTGTACCAAAATTCCTCCACTTTATATGTGGGTTGCTGCTACAGTATAACTGACAAGTGGTATAGGTCTGCGCCCAGGATCCCAACCCGCAAACCTGGGCCACCAAAGCGGAGCATGCCAAACTTACCAGCTACACCATGGGCCTAGCCCCTGAGATTCTATTTTGGAGAGCTCACAGAGACCATGAAAGGATCGTGAAAGAAGTTGAGATAGTGATGCATAAGAATAGCTCCTTGTGGTATAGATCCAGGACTATCTTCAAAAGAGAAAGAGAAAAAAATCCTATAGTTAAAGCTAAATTCAAAAAAGAGGAGTGAAATCATTACTTTTTAAATGTATTTTGGAAATTTGTGTTCTCACAGCATATTTTATAGAGCTCATTGGCATTAAAACCTTTGGTGCATGTAAATTACATACTCCTAAGATTGCTTCTAATGGCACTAAGAGCCCAGAATCTTTGAACCGGAGAGCATTAGATTGAAAGAAGGAAGAAATGATGTTATGAGGGTAAGAGAGACGCAATTGGTTGGGGTCAAGATAGTTAATGACACCATTTTTTTTTTCTTTTGTACTTATGACCTCTACATTAGATGCATTTACTTTCCAGGAGAGAGATTATTTTCATTATGATTCAGAGACATGTGCAAAGAGCTACTTCCAGCTGAGACAGAGTTACCGGAGCCCCTGTTGAGAGACAGAGCATTAAGACACATATGTGCTTTCACCCCATAGAACTTAGAAAGTAGAGAGAAATGATTGGTTTCAGCTCAGTCCACTACGGCCAGAGGAGCTGCTGCCACCTAAACAAGAATGGATCTAGTTTTCCTTTTTCACCTCGAATAATAGTATATATAATACACGTAATGCATGCAAATAGTATACATCATACATGTAAAGCTGTGAATGCAACTACCTCCTTTATTTTCTATTTTGTAGCAAATTGCAGAGAATTTGATAACTAGGCTGTAAAAAAAACATACATTGGTATAACAGCTATTGTAAATATTTTGCTCAGTTTTTATTGTTAAATTACATTTTTATTGATGCATGTATCTGTGGGTCTGTGTGTCTCTCTGGGAGAGTTGCGTGTGTGTGTGTGTTTGAGGAGAGAGCGTGTAAGGTGAAAGAGACTTGAACATATTCCCAAGTTGAAAAGAAAGAGCCAGTGGGGGAGCTGGCCCCATGGCCGAGTGGTTGAGTTCTCATGCTCCGCTGCAGGCAGCTCAGTGTTTCGTTGGTTCCGGTCCTGGGCGCGAACATGGCACTGCTCATTGGGGCCACGCTGAGGCGGTGTCCTGCATGCCACAACTAGAAGGACCCACAACTAAGATATACAACTATGTACCGGGGGGCTTTGGGGAGAAAAAAGGAAAAAAATAAAATCTAAAAAAAAAAAGAGTCAGTGGGAAGGGAGAAGTCACAAGGGAAAGCTGTGAGCCCTCAGGACCTGGTTAGAGGCAGGAGGAGCTCAGAGGGCTGAGGTTCTGTGATTTTGGCTGTGAGGACTGGAATGAAGATTATTGTTACTGTGTCTTATTATCATGCACACATTTTGATGGTGTCTATTGTTCCCCTAATTGCTGTCCTTGTCTCCCCTCTGCCCACTTCCACTGATAAGAATTTGAGGAAACTAGGTCACGTTTCCTTGTCAGTGGAAATCTTTGAGTGTCATAAAGACCACAAATCCTGGTCTCCACTTTTATTTATAAAACACCTTTTGTACTATCATGTAGACAGAGCCTCAGAGAAAAATAACAAGCGATACATTAACTCCTTGAAAGTATAAGCACACTCTGGATACGCTATACATAAATTCAGAATTGCTAAATTAAAAATGTATGGAACCATAATATTGAAGTCTCTGCTTCTTTGAAACTTTTGATATTTGTTCCTTTTAAAGGACATTGACAGGATTCAGTAGGGGATTTTGAATCTGTAAGACAGAGGCTACCAAGAACAAGTAAATGAGTCAGCCACTGTTTGCAATTTGTCGCTGTCTAAATTCCTCAGTGACACGGAGACTTACTGAAAGAATTTGTATTTTGTTATAGCACTGGAACAGAGGGAAAACTTTAGAGCAATGCTTCTTAGAAAAGGATGTTTTTCTTTGAAAAATGTGATCTCACACAGAAGAGGGAAGGATTTTTATCTTTTTTTCATTGCAAATCCTTTTCCAATGGAGCTATCAAAAATGATCAGGCCATAATTCTTTTAAAGAATTGAAGTTGAAAGAAAATATTTTTACCGAGCATTCTTTAAAACTTCGTTTTGAATAGGGAAGACATACACATGTAAAATATTCAAATATTCAAAAGGCACATAATGAAACAGAATCAAAAGTAAAGACTTCTCTTCTGCACCGCAAGCACCAAGTTCCCACCCTAGAGGCAACCACTGTTATCAGTCTCTTGTGGGTCTCTCTGGAGATATTCTTGCATTTATACTTCTAGATATTTATATGTTCCCCTCCACTAGCAGCAGACGGTATGCATTGTCATCTACATTGCTTTTTTCTGAATGGCTCTTGAATTTAAAAAGTATAAGAAAGATAACGTTGGCCCTCCTTAGGCAGCAAAGCACTGGCCCATCTGATGCTAGTGAAACTTCCAGCTCCCCTTCCCTTTCGTGCATTAACATGCACGGAGGCTCCTGTTTTGAACTGGAGCACGCGGAAGAGAAGAAAGAAATTGGGGGCGAGGTGACGTCTGTGGCTGGTGGGGAGTTAAGGATGGGAGTTACTATTTTATAACCTTAGATGGGGTTATATGCCTAAGGTCAGAAATGTGGCAGTCAGAATACTAATGGCACTATTTTTTTAGGAGGGATGTGGAAGGTTTGTGGGAAGGAGGGGAGGGCCAAAAGTTAATTTCTGAGAAAGGAGAGTCATTTTAGAGTCTTAGGGACCAAATGTGGTGCATAGTTGAAGAGGAGGCCATTTCCCCCACTTCCCCTTGGAAACCAGAAATGATCTGACACTCCTCAAATCTGCAGACAGAGAATGTGGAAAATTATAAGCCAGGGTAGGAAAAGAAGGAAAGAGCAGACACCACGCAGTTACAGACTGGTTTGTGGGCATGTGTGTGGCATCCTTCTGGGGAACTCCCCAAAATAACTTGGGGACACTTGGAGTTGCACTGATTACTAGTCATCAAACCAATTGGAACTCTTGCCATCATAATTTGGGCATATAAATAGACTGCAACTTTATTTTGTTTTCCAAATCTGGTGAGGCCAGGAAACATGGGGTACATGTTAAAATGAAAAACGCTAAATATAAAACATATGTGATACCTTGTAACAGGATGGTAGAATGGAAGCCTTGATTGCAAAACAGCAAATACCTATTCCAAGCTGAAGTGCTGGGCTGAGATTTAAATGTAAGAGACTGAGAACTAGTAGATAATTCTCACACTTCACTCTTATCAGGGATATAAAAGGGTAGGGAAGGAGATTGAACTATAACCTCTTAGGAGAATTTCTCTGGAGAGCTGTACTGAGAGTCCACACCCTCTATAGGGCAAGTTCTGAGGGATGCCTGCCCCTCACCTTAAGCTGGACCTGTAACTGGACCCCCAGGAGAGTCTAATATTTGTTCCCCAAGGTTGGTAGATTGGCTGGGTAGCTGGGACAGCCAAGCTGAAGGAGAAGGGGTGTGTTAGGACCCACCAGTGTTCCTAGAGTTCATTGGGGCTGACAACTGGTGAGTGTTTCCTGTGGGTGTGATGTGGGCCATGGGTGAGAGAGCTTGGGCCTAGAGGCATCCTAGGTCCTTTCCAGAAGGACTCAGAGAGAAGCTGGAGGGAGGTATTGCTAGACTGCTAGGGGCTAAGGCAAGCATAAGTAACCAGGTAACCTAGAGAACCCTTGCCCTGTTAAATCTCCTCTTCCCTCCAGCTCCATCCCTGGAAGGGTCAGGGGTCACCTTTGGACAAGTGAGCGGGGAGGAAGAAGAGAAGCACGGCGTAAGAAGAGAGAAGCTGACCATACTCCAGAGGCAAGGAGAGGCATCAACTTTTAATCATGGTTTGAATTTTGGTTACTATCCGAAACTGACCATTTTAACTGAAGTGAGACTATTTAATGACTAACAGTAACTGTAATGACCAAACATTTCCGTTTCCATCCAGGGGCAGAGGGTGAACTAGCTCTACCAAGTGAGTAGATAAGGAAGGCGCCGTCCCATCTCATCCCACCAGGTGTGTCTGCGCCAGGGAGCGGTTACCTGCAGACGTAGGGGAAAGAAAACAGAAGAAATCCTTGACTTCTCCAGTATTTTCTCTTTCCATTTCCCAGAGGTTCTTCAATTTTTACTTTGTTTTAACGGATTTCTTTCTTTCAAGGCCACTAACGCTTTCCTGTCACGGCTTCCAAATCATTGCTCTCCTTCTTTTATTCTCTCAGGTTTTCTTTCATGATCTCAGGCCACTGCCCTAGCCATGAGTTCTGCTGTTCCCAGGCTGATATGCTCTCTGTCTCTGTGGTTGCAATAGTCATCAGAGCACCATTTTCTTCTCCTTCAAAAAGTACAGACCCCGAAGAGGGAACAGCCCAGGGATGTCACCCTCCAGCCCCTGTGGGCTCCTGAGAGCCAGAGTCACTGCCCTGTGAGTGCCACTGACAAGTCACCTCACAATTCATTTGAGTTAATTAGCTCCTTGTGAAAATGAAATACCTTCCTAACAGCAATCACTCTGAACAATTTAAATCAGAGGTTGTTTGGCAGACTTTAAGGCTCCAGATTATAAACACCTGCACAGTTATAAACACCAGGCCATTGGCCCTGGAGGCAGAGAATGGAGCTTCAACTTCTAGCTCCAACTGTAATGTGTATTCAGCAGGCCTGGGATGATTACTTTGCCTCTCTGAACAAGGAGGCTAGTGGTACCAGCCTCTATTAAATGAGGTAGTAAGCATAACATGTTTAGCAAAATGCTAGGGTTAAATAAGCATTTGCTAAGTATTAACTATTATTATTGGAATCTGACCTCATTTTAATCCCAAATTTACCTCTCTCTTACATTCCCAGGCTCTTAGTTACTTCTTTCTCTTCTCTTTCTTTTCATTCATTCATTCTTTCTTTCTTTTTTGATCAATGGCACTTTGATTTACATGGTTTTTTTCCCCTAGGTTGGGGATTTCCCCTTAATCATCTGTACAAAAAGTTTAAATGGCTTGCAAATAATAGTCTAGAAAACCATGTCCCTGCTACACATAGGATTGAGTTCCCTTCCAACTTACCTTAATGCTAAAGCTGTAAAATGGGAAAGAATAGGATTGAGTCATAGACTATGAGATCCAGAGGATTCCTTGAAACTTCAGCTCCCTCATTTCACACCCTTGGTTGATGATTCCCATTTGTCCTCCTTTCTTATAGATTCCCTTCTGAGTACATGGAGAGGTTTAAAAAAATGTTTCTTTATGACAGTTGCTTTGGACTGTCATTTCTAAGCCTCCATTGATATTGGAATCCTCAATATGTTCCCTTCTAGAAGCAATGTAGTGCTAGAATTTCTTTGGCTCTGAGAAAACTACATTTCTTTTCATTCCGGGTAGGATCAAGACCCCATTCTGCATATTATTGATGTTTTTGCTCCCAGGTAATGGGTGGAGGAAGAAAAAGTAGCATTTGGAAGAAGAGTTAGTCCCTGAGGACCTTCACGGTAGGGTGTTTGGTGGATGGAAGGAAGAGGTAGACCATAAATGTCAAGAACAGACATCATTCCAGAGATGCGAGCAAGTACACAGCTCATGAACCTTTCTGAATGCTAACTGGTTTTTATTCTACAATCACCCTACCAGTTATTTTACTTTATGGTGTTGAAGGATAATTTCTTATAAAGAAAAAAAAAATCTGTCGGATTTGTAAACCCTTTGAAATAGTAGTAACTTTACTTTTTTATGGGTTATTTCTCAAGGAAAGGGGGTCAGGTTGTTTGCCTAATGAATGGATGCAAATATTTTATCACTTTGATGAGCAGCTGTCAGACAGAGAGTGTAAGACAGATGGGGAAATCTTTGTAGGGTTTTCCTGCATTAATCAAGGGCACTATGCCTTTCTTAGCATGGTTTAAGTTTAAATTCTTCTCGGGAGAAAAAAATAGTAAATTTAAAAATTAATGACAATAAGGGTTAAAAAAAACCCTGTCATCCTCAATATTTCATTCAAAAATCAAATAGTCTTGGGTTAACCGACTTGCAGTTTTTGTAACCATTTCTCATCTGCCACACCGTCCACAACAAGAAAACTCATCAATATGCAAGGACTTGTTTCCTGTCCCGTTGCTTCCTCCTACTGTCCAAATATGCCCAATTCAAAGTCTGTTTAGTCAAGCAGGCATGCAGAAGAATGAGAATTTCTCTGGTGTTTTTAAAACCAGCCAGAACAATTCTGACCATTGCTAAGGGGCACTTTTAACCAAACACCATAATGTAGCCAAGAACACAGCAGAATGTCATATTCCTTGTATGTTTTTTGTGTGTGTGTGTGAGGAAGATTGACCCTCAGCTCACATCTGTTGCCAATCTTCCTCTTTTTTGCTGGAGGAAGATGATCCCTGAGGCAACATCCATGTCAATCTTCCCCTACTTTGTAGATGGGACGCAACCACAGCATGGGCTTGATGAGCAGTGTGGAGGTCCGCATCCAGGATCTGAACCTGCGAGCCCCGGGTCATGGCAGCAGAGCACATGAACTCAACCACTATGCCACAGGGCTGGCCCCCTTGTGATATATTTTTTTAAATAAAACATTGATGGTCGTTTTAAATGCTGTTTAAGAAGCAAGGTATCCAATAGGCATCGAGATAATGCTTTTCTAAGGTTCTTTGGGGTTTTCCCTTGCAAAAAGGTATGGTTGTGAAAGAAATACATTTTGGATAGCTAATGTTGTGATGCATTTCTTGGTCAAACAAATCACACCAAGTACCCTGTGGGCCTTTGTCTTAGTCATCTTGGGTTGTTATAACAAAATAGCATAGACTGGGTGGCTTAAACAACAGAAATTTATTTCCTCACCGTCTGGAGGCTGGAAGTCCAAGATCAAGGTGTCAGCATGGTTGGGTTCCATGAGGCTTCCCTTCCTGGCTTGTAGATGGCTGCCTTCTTGCTGTGTCCTCACAATGGGAGGGGAGAGAGACTGCAAGCTGTCTGGTAGCTTTGCTTCTAAGGATATTGATGCCATTATGAGGGCTCCACCCTCATGACTTCATCTGGCCCTGATTACCTCCCAAAGGTCCCATCTCCAAATGCCATCACATTGGGGGTCAGGGCGTTTACACAGGAATTTGGGGGGGGACCCAAACTTTCAGTCTGTAACAGCCTTATATCTCATTTTGACATAACTCCCAGAACTATGTCTTTAATATGAGTGGTGGGCTGAGGAGAATTACACTTCACATCTAGGAAACTAGACCAGAAAAAAAATTGCTCCTAAGCAATTCCAAAGCTGTATTTTTTGGTTGTCATTATTTCCCATTTTTTAAATTAAAGTTTTCCATTTTATGTAAATTTGGAAATGTGTATGTAATTTGTAAAGTCAAATAAAGCATATTAAAAATAAGCAGTGCTTGCCCCACCTCTCTCCTACACTGATTCTGCTCATTAATGAAGCCAAGACCCAAGCTTGACAACAGAAGGAGTGGCTGCTTTTTTAAGTGTAGAGTTAGGGCTGTTGAAATAAAGAAAGAGTCTTTGGGTCTAACCCCTTCCTCTAAGTAGGTTACCAATGAAATTATCTGAGACTAATAATTTTCCCTTCTATTTTTTTTTTAGTTTTTCATAGAAATTCCATAATCTCTCCTTTTTTTTTTTTTTTGCAGTATTTAATTACCTGTAGAATAAAAGAGAAGCTTTACAAGATACGAATTGTTAACGTGTTGAATTTGTAAAATCCATGCATGGTAGAGTCAGGAAGAGATGGCTGACCACACTTCCAGATGGCCATGAGAACTGAGAACTGAGGAATTGTTAATTTTTAGTAGTTGTTATAAATCCGCTGGCCCACATGGATAATTCCGTATTCAGTCATCATTGCCCATACCACCCATTGAGAAGCCCTGCTCCGGACAGACATCCCTTAAGTCTGTTTTGAATAACAGCAGACTTCAGAAAATGGGTGGAACACATGACCTGAAAGGCTGACTCTGAATCAGAACTTCAGGAAACCACAGTGAATTATCTGGCAATTAAGCGTACCCCATTGATAGCAGCTGAATCCAGATCAGCCTCAGGCCTTTGCTTTAGGATTGGCAAAATAGCCCTTGGAAGCCTGAGCAGTTTTGTTCTAGGGCCATGGTTCCCACCTTCTTCTATAATCCCCTTTCAATGGGAGGTGGTATCAGAAATACCACTTCCGCTACCATGCATTGGAAAGCAATAGAGTTCACCATGTTTATCCTGGGTCTTCTGAAACCAAACATCTCCCATTCTAAGACTTTCAAACAAAATTCAAAACAGTGTCCTTGGAGCAGAATTTGAAGGGAGGCCCCTACAAAGCCCGCCAACTCCACGGTTTTCAGTAAAAGGAACTCCTGCTCCAGTCTTTTGAAACCTGGTTCAAGTAAAATACCATTCTCATACCAGGGTTTGAATCACATTTCCTCTGTCCACACAGCTTCTATAGTCTTGCCAGAGAGAGCATTTACCCCACTACTTCCTGATTAAAAAAAAAAAAAAATCTGGCTGGCCTATTTTTTATATGCTAATTATCTCCATCTGTAAGCGCTTCCTAGCCTCTTTAGCTTTTCTTGGCCCAACCTCAAATGCCAACATCTCTTCCAAGGGGAAAAAAATGGGTATCTGCCTTACATCCAGAAGCCAAGGTGCATAGAGAGAATTGAGCCCTTCCACAACTAAACATAAATATGGTACAAATTGGCAATCAGAATTTTAACACTAAACCTTTGTAAAGATAAAAATGTTCCATGACTTACTTCTTTTCACGTGGTTCCTGTGAAGAATAGAGCCCCAAGATACTTACATCACAGAGAGTCTTTCATAAACTTTCCCAGATATATAAGGAAATCAATGTCAGCCCACTTCAGTGAAGCAGTGGATGCTGTGAGTTAAGTCTCCAGGCTTTCTATGGACCATGACTGTTTTGTCCTCAGACCATATGCTTAGCTGTAAAAATTACATGGACTACCCCACGAAACCTCATACTGTATGTTGAGGGAAATAATAACATCTTTGAGAAATGAACTACACTTTCAAAATAATATGTTT